GCACTTCAGCTGGGCTGTTGGCTGTGTCACCTTCTTAGAGGAACACCCCTTAGTTCCTTTGAGGTATTTCACTGGTGTTTCCCTCTTGGCTCCTATTACCTCAGGAGCCCCTGGCTCATCTATGCAAAACTCCAGCAGACGTGCTCCAGTGTACCCAGCACGTCTCAGAGCAACAAGCTGAGGGCCCTCACTAGCACCCTGTCCCTCTAACCTTGGCGTGTCATCCCACAGCTTGTCATGGGCAAGCCTGATGATATCCCCCTCCCCCTTCAAGTCTAGTTCAAAGCTCTGTCAATGAGCCCTGCTAGCTCGTGAGCAAAGACCCTCTTCCCCCTTTGAGAAAGGTGAATCCCATCTGACATCAGCAAGCCTGGTGCCATGTAGGCCATCCCGTTATTGAAAAACCCAACATTGTGGCAGTGACACCAGCCATGGAGCCATGTATTAATAGACTGGGTCCATCTGTTTCTTCCAGTGTCGCTGCCCACAACTGGAAGGGTAGGGTAGAGGAAAAAATAACCTGTGCTCCAGATTCCCTTACCAACCATCCCAAGGCCCTGCAGTCTCTTTTGATTGCCCTTGGACTACACGTTGCGGCTTCATCACCACCCACATGGAAGAGCAGTAATAGGTCATAGTCCGAGGGTCATACCAGGCTAGGAGGTTTCCTACCGATGTCCTTAACCCAGGCCCCAGGGAGGCAGCCGACTTCCCTAAGAGGAGGCTCTGTCTGGCATATTGGACCCTCTGTTCCTCTCAGAAGGGAGTCACCTACAACTATAACCCATCTTTTCTTCCTCATGGAGTTGGTCATGATACAGGGGGTAGGCCTTTCTGACCTTGGCAACACCTCTGGTATAGGTGGACCATCATCCACATCATCCATTGACTGGCCTTCCACATCCAGACCCTCATACCTGTTGTACAGAGGCACCTGGGAAGAAGGCGAGGTGGGCAAGGAGGGGGTTTGCCTGCTGCCCCGAGTGTGGACTTGCTTCCGTTCACTCCTTTCCTTTAAGCTACTGCCTTCAGCCTGGCAGGGGGAGGATACAGGATCCCTTTGATCTTTGTTTTTTTCTCATGGCTGTTTCTGTTTCTGTCTCAGGGAGGGCAGAGCTTGGTTCCACCAGCCTGTCTCTTTCTCAGACTTCCTGATGCTCCTTATCCTTTCTACTTCCTCCTGTAGCTCTGCCACCAGGCTGAGCAGATCACCCACCTGATCACACCTCACTCAGCTGTTCTCACTACTGCCATCCGTTCCCAGTGAGAGACTCTGGCATGCCCTGCAGCCTGAGGCCTGGATGGTTGCATGTTTTCGTGGGAGCTCTGGGTTGCCATATGCATTCCATCCTGGCGAGGGTAGAGGACATGGCTTTCTGCCGGGTGGATACTGTAGCTAAGCTCTTTCTGAGAGGGTGATGACCACCAACTGAACTCACTTCTTGAGCAGGTAGGGTGACGACGCCCTTCCACATGAACTGCTGTGCCATGCTCTGTTTGCCCACTCTGTCCACTGGCACTCCCCAGGCTGCTTTTTATAGGTGCGAGGGTGGCTGTGGCCCTGTGCACCAAGATCTGCCGCTCTGCTGCAGACTGGGCAGGCTCTGGAGCAGCTCCCCTCAGTGACTGATGTTTTCTTGCGTGTTTTCTGATCTCCAGGTTTGTTTGGCCTTAAAGCTGGGCTTGAGGGTAGTTCCTGGGTTGACTCTCAGGGCCACTTCCTGACAGTAGCAGCTATTCTGTAATTGTTGCACACCACTCCTTCCACACATGGTAAACCCTGCCCCAGGCAGAGGAGGTTTGAAGAGACTAAGCCCCAGCCCTACTTCTGTCTTTGTCCCAAGAAAATCAGGAAGAAGCTGCATTTGAGAGTCAGCAGGGCTCTGGCCGAGCATAGGGACCCCCAGCATTAGGCACCTTCTGGGGCTCTTGGCGCGAGTGGGGAACAGGGCACAA